ATCCATATTCACTGTGCTGCCCAGGGACCCATTAATCTGAATTGCATTGCAGTGTGCACCACCCATTGTATTCACAGTGAATAGACCCAACAATCCATGTTAGGACAACCTTTTTGCAGCTGCAACCCCCCAGGTTTCTTTTTCTTTGGTTGCTTAAGACCCCATTCACACGTAGCGACATACCTTTTGCAGCGGATCCGCACGGCCGGGATAGCGCAACTTTCGGGGCGACGTTCCAGCGACTGTAGCGCGACCTTCTCCGTCGGGCTCCATAGAAAAAAGCCAAAATCGCGCAAAATCCGCCGAAAAAAGGGTCCGGTAGAAGCGACTTGCGACGCGCGACATGGAGTTAAGACAGCTCCATTGAATAGCATTGGCCGGCGACTTCTCGCGATATCGCGCGGCAAAAATGCGCGATATCGCGGCGGAAATCGCGCGATAATTCGCTACATGTGAACGGGGCCTTAAGGAGAACTATGGGATCAGGGCTTTTCCCCATAGTTCTCCTAAGTGTAACGGGAGGACACAAACTAGCGTTCTCCCGTGACCCAAAGCTCAGTATAACGCGAGTGATACGCCGCAGCCGGGACGGATCCCGACAATGATGTCTGGATCCACCCAGATGCGTGATTGACAGCAGGCTCTGCCTATCTGGAGGCATAGCCAGCTGTACACGCCCCCTCCCCCTGTCCGTTCCGCCAGTCAGCGCTGGAGGATCGGAGAGGGGAGGGGGGAATCCTTGCAGGGAGCCGTGAGTGACAGTCACGGCTCTCTGCAGGGATAGATCGAGAAGTGAGCGAGCGCCGGTATGTGTTCGTTCACTTCCCGATCTACTGAGCCGACTTGTGACAGTTTCATTGTCACAAGTCGGTTCAGACTATGAGGCTGAGTGAAAATCACTCACCTCATAATTCTCCTTTAATTGTTTTTTTTTTATTTCACTTTTTCAAAATGAAAATACAAAATGTAAAGAAATGAAAAAAGGGATTTTGTTTATAGCTGTCTCTTTCAACGCGCAATATTGCGACCAAGTTTACCGCACCAAATCAACAGGGAGTGATGTGCACCAAATCACATAGGTGTGAAGATCGGTCACCAGCACTCTAAAATGTAAAGAAAATGTTGTTTATTGCAAATGACGTCACGGAGGTCAAAATATTACTATTTTGACCTCTGTGACGCCATTTGCAATAAACAATATTTTCTTTATATTTTAGAGTGCTGGTGACTGATCTTCACATCTGAGGCTCTGCACGGCACCATCCATGGTGGTCACTACGAGCACCTATCTTATATACACCGGTCACTACGATGTATGGTGTCCCGCAGGCACTTTCAACAATTTGTGAACCAAAACAACCCCCCCCCCACACACACACACACACCCACACCCTTATTGCCATGACTGGTAATAAAATTAGGCAATCCTCTGTTTGCATCAAACCTGGGGGGACTAAAGGAACAGTCAGGTTCTGCAGTTAGTGGGGAGCAAGCAGGTCCTGCAGTTACTAGGGGGGTGAACGGGTTCTGCATCCACAAGTCAAAATGGTTGTTGGGTCACAAGGCAAATCTGGCTTTCTTTTCTGGCAGTAGGCATGCTATACAGCCAAAGTACACAGAGAAGGTGCGTGGTGGAGTAGGTAACCAAGCCATTGTCATCCTTCTCCTAGACACAGAGTAGCATAGGGTCATCAGTCACTGTAAGTCATCGAAGACGGGAATTTCCCTCACTTTGCTTCCTGTTGTGTCTCCTGGACAGGAAGTGAAAAGAATTCTCCCAGATGGGACACAGACATGGAAATGTATTGATTACCTGTGAATTTCAAAGCTTTGTATTGGAAATTAATTAGTTTTCTTTATTGACAGCTCATACAAGGCAGAAGTTTATTTCCTGTGACCACTGTGTGCACAAGCCCCTTTGAGTGAGAACAGCATGGTCACCAATATGATCCTGTCCCTCATCTACGGTCACATAACATTTGCACACTGTGTATTGGGCATTATTGGGTTGGGAGGGGCAGGTTTTCGTAAATCCCCCACCAAGGCCAATGCCTGTGTAGCCCCCATCACCTTTTGTGAGGTGGCTACTAGACATTTAGTGATAGCCGGGGCTGTGGTCAGCCTGGCCGCATTATAGTTGGCATTTATCTTCTTAATTCCAAGTGTCTGGCTTTAGTTGTACCCACCTGGGTGGAGTGTGACTCTGCTGTAGTGTGGGATAGCTAATGAGGAACACTGAGAGCGTATGTGCAGTACAGCAGCCAAACACTGGGTTTCCCTCAACCAGTGTTGCATGCTGGGATAGGGTACATATGTTGAAGGGAATTGCCATGTGATCAGCCTAGTCTTGTGCCAGCTATGGATTAGCACAGGACTGGGTGCTGTCCAGCCACCCCCCAGGCTAGGCCGAGGCATGGGGGTGGGCAGACGTTGGAGTGCGGGAAGGGTTTCACTAGGCCTCAATTATGGAGGAGGCCTGTGCTGTTTTGAGAGGAGGAGAACCGGGAAGGATGATGGCTGCTGGAGGTGCCTAGAACCTAGAGGACCTCAGGAGCAAGGCTGGTGTCTCTCCTGCTGAGGATTTGTGTTCATTCCCTGCCCTCCTGTTACTTAAATCCCTATTCAATGAGCTACAAATGGATCTACACTGAGATGCTAAAAAGGTCTGGTGAGTCTGGAGTCTATGTCTGTACTACCCTGGATGTCTAGGATCCCTATACCCTCTCGCCCCATTGTGAAGATGTTAATAAAAGTTATTCAGCATTGCATTACTGGAGTGAATATCAGTTTTGTGGGCACAAGAAGAGGGCGGTTAAGTGCTAATGGGGCAGCTGAAGACCAAAACCCCTAGACAGCTAGTGATGACCCAGGTTATTCTGGCGACTCCTTCGGGGGTGAGTGCTACACTTGTATTACCACTCTGCAGCCAGGCAGCTGGACAGGGGCCAAATCAGAAAAAATAAATAAATTAGGCCAGGTAAGGACATTTTCAGAAAAAAATGTAATTCCAGATGCCCTGCATGACATTTTCTGGATGAACACAGTTGGTGGTGCAAAACAAATAGAGAAGATTCATTTTAGTAAACCACAACAGGCGATAGTGATTCATTTAAATCAGAATATATTTACATAATATAAATCTCAAGCTTTCAATGAAGGCCAAGGTGCTAACAATGCCTGGATACCAGGCTAAATTCTACATAAAATAGGAATGTTCTGCAGAATTTAATAGTATACGATCACCTGAGGAGCATCCAAAAAGTGCAAGTCTATGTCATGTCTACCCCCCAGTGAGATCAGAGAAAAGAGAGGTCTACACATCCAAGAACTGGGAGGTTTATTGAAAATTAAACTGTATCTAAAGCCCAAACTTGTTTTTAGTTTCGGGTAGCGTGGTGAATGGTTAGAACCTCTGTCAGGATCTTTTTACCCTCTTGTGTTCCCATTGGTGTGTTGTGAGCTCTCTTTTTTTTTGTCCTATTGACCATTGTCTTCAGGACAGAAAGTGAAGGAAATGCAAGCTTTTGAGTTGCCACCAGAAGAGGAATAGAGGGGAAATCATCCAATGGGGTGACATGTTCGAGTGACAACTAAGAGGCCATTTCCCTCATCTTGTAGCTATTTCTTCTAACGTCCTGTTGTCTCTACAGGACAGGAAGTAACGGAAAATGTCCTCAATGTGACACAGATGGAGAAAAAAGCATGACGGGGTTTTAACCATTCTCTGCTCTATGCAAAACAAATGCAAATGTTGTCTTTAGATACATTTCAAAGTAGAGCTATAGCTTGCAATTAAACAAATCAGTGCTGCTGCACATAATTATAACCACATCGGTATTCACAGTTTTCTCAGTCCTCCTTCTCACAAATATGTGTTGATCCTGCTAGTGAAGTCCACCTAATTCAGCTTCCTGTGATATGCTGGCAACACTGCTGCTCCTCAATTTAGAGCATGTTTTACCTTTATGTTGGCGGTGCCTGCATGCACTACAGTGGGATGAGAAGACATTGCAGGGGGCGTGGCTATCAGCATTGTCACTGCAGATTCACAAGCCTGTAGCTTGTCAAGTCAGCAGTTGGTCACACTTAGTCACCCCCACTGCTTTCGGAATTGATAGCACTGCCTCTGTTACTGAAACCCTCCCACTGTGAGCTGCAGCATCTGGGAGGCGGAGTGTGTGAGACACAAATGAAGGTAAATTTGTAACTGGATTTGGCACATGTTTAGTCACACAAGTTTTTATATGTACTGTACTTTAAAGTGACACTAAACTTAGGAGTTAAACCTTAAAAATGCATTCAAGTACCTCAACTATTACCATTAATGTATCTTATTTGTGTATCACTCGGCTGTAGATCCTCCAATCATCTCTGAATTGGTGCTGACACTGTCCTTCCTTCTGGAGGGGGGCTACTTTTGTACCCCGTCCCCATGGTCCCTGTGTGTGTTATAAAGTAGCCACCGCGTGGCTACTTTATAACAATCTCCCATGAGATTGTAGTCCATCATGGGAGAGAGCTTGGAGAGGTGACTACTTTACAACACACACAGGGACCATGGGGAACAAAAGTAGCCCCCTCCGGAAGAAAGGACAGTGTCAGCACCAATTCAGGAGATGATTTGGGCATCTACAGCCGAGTGATACACAAATAAGATACATTTGTGTTATTAGTTAAGGTACTTAAATGTATTTTTAATTATTAACTCCTGAGTCTAGTGTCACTTTAACTTTATAAATCTCATCACTGAATTGTATGACCAATATTTGCTATTCCTCTTCAATAAACCCTTTTGGTTCTAAAATGTCATTGCACAGATCTCTCTCTTTTCTGTTCACTTTTCAGTGAATGAATGATGGACACAATTTATGGACAACTGGGAAGAGAAATCCAGCTAAGGGTAGAAAACATGAAACATCCCCAGCAGCAGCAGCATGTTAGGTTTCATGTTTTCTACCCTTAGCTGGACATCTCTGGCCCAGTTGTCCATGAACTGGGTCCATCATTTTGGACATATATAAGACAACACAAGGTCCACCTCATTTTTAATGACGGGTGGACCCGGGTGAATGTTATCAGGAAGGTAGTGGCAGGACGTCATGTCCCAGACATCTATGATAGTGACTGCCATTCCTTTGAAGGCCTCCCTCAGTAAGATGTCGAGTTGAAGAGATAACCAGTCACTGCCATATATTGACTTATATCCCGTGTTTGCCGATTTGATAATTACTTTGGTCTCGGGGCTGCGGAAAAGCAGAGATGCAATAGCTTGACGGACTCTCTCCAACCTTTCCAAATAGTAGCTCACAGGGAAGGTGGTGAAATGGGCCCACAGAGTTATCAACACAACAGTTTGAGGTCCTCCGCCAATTCCAGCCAAATGGGCCGCCTCGTAGTGTAGGTCAGAGATCATTGTCTTGCTAGTCCTCAAGGGCAACCCATGGCCTCTCCATCGTACAACAAGACCTACAGTAGGTTCCACTGCTAATAGAGGTCCTGACTTATAGTTGACATGTAGATCTATCTTCTTGAGACCTGAAGTATATAAACAAAACAAACCACCATTACTCAAGCATTCTAGAATTAGACAATAAAATGTGATGTGACTGTCACTTTGCCAATTTATATTAAAGTAACAAAGTCTCTATAAAGCCCACTGACCCACTTATACAAACCTTTGTCCCACTCCGCTGCCATTCTGTCACTCCAACAGAAATATCCACTGCTTCTAGGTATGGGGAAACATGTGATCTCATCCCATGATGCAGGGTTCAGGCCTGAGCAGGCGATTGCCAGGCCCAAACACTGGGAAGGGGTGACATCAACCTTGTGTAGGCTCTACTCTACCTGATATTAAACATACACAGAGCAGATGGTATGGGGAGTGTAAGTGATTCAGATGTTTGGGGAGGAGGTAGGCTTTAAAGTAGATCTAAATCCAAGACCAAAAATACAATCATTTTTGGTCTTGGACTTAATAATATCATAAACTGCATCCTAGCGTTCCTTAGTTGTGGTGGCTTCATTCGTTTTCTTTTCCTTTCACCTGGACATGATAAAGGTTCACTTTCAATGGTTGCTCTGCCTGCTTGATCCCCAAGCCTTCCCCATGGCACAATGTTCACATCTTGCACCAATGTGGGCTAGGAAGTTGGATGCAATGCTCCATACATTGGATGCTGTACCTGGACTATAAACCAGTTGAATGTAAAGTTGGATTGCAACAAGTCCCGATTTGCATGGCTCCACCCATAACCCATAAATAAAGAATACATCCTTAACTTTCTGTGATATAAGTGATGTGGCAAATTCTCTCTTTTCATACATTCTGTTCTTCACTAGAGAATTGGGAAAAGTTCTTACTTGGGATAAATTTCTCTAGGTATTCAAACCATTGGCGTAGCGTAGAGTCTCCGAACATGTAGATGTCTTTCCCTTTAAGGCAGGCTAATGCATTAGACGGGTTGGGAAAATGTCTTGACGAGCACATCAGGGAGGTCCACACATCGTGATAATAGAACCCAGAGGGCTTTGGAGGTTCCTGGCCAGGCCTGCAGAGTGTGAGGTTGGCTGTCAGATCTGCAAGACAACATGACAAGTAGGGTTGCCACCTTTTCTTCAAGCGAAACCCGAACACCCTAGCGATGGGCGGACGTTTGTTGGGGAAGAATGAGTCGTGGCTTATTCATATGTAAATAGCGCCACCCATTAATATGTAAATATCACAGTTGAGACTATTTTAACTAGGGGGCCAGTAGCCCCTATTTAAATTTTGGTTGCCCCTGTTTGCCTGACATCTTGTGTCCGGGTTACTGCTGCCATGAAACCCGGACACAGCATTCAAAACCCGGACTGTCCGGGTGAATCCTGGACAGGTGGCAACCCTATGTAATATGTAGATGAAAGGTTTGTTATGCAGCGTGAATAGTGTGTGGTGAGGCAGAGATGGAGATCTGCCTCACCACGCGGTATACTGAGCCTAGGGTGACGGGATGACGCTAGTTTGTGTCCTCCCGTTACCCTAAGGAGAACTATAAGAAAAAGACTTAACCCCATAGTTCTCCTTTAAAGAGGAACCTGGGGGGAAAAAAAAATAACAAACTTACCCTTGTAGTGGGGCTGCCCCCTGCACTGCAAGAGTTAAGTGCTGGTTTGGTCTAGGGGGCTCAAATAAAGCCGATATACTCCCCCGATTCTCGGTCCCTCTGGTTCCCTCTCTGGGCTGCTAGATTGGTCCCCGTAGCCTCTTCTACCCTGGGCTCATGTGATCTAAGGACCACTCATGTCATCGTGCCTTATGCAGGTCCATCAGTTTGGTAGAGAACAATGTCACCTGCACACCAAAATCCTTTTAGGATAATCAATTGTTAATTTTATTGAAGAGATCGTCAGTTGAAAAACAAGTGCTTTCGGGGACCTCGCAGGGTCCCTTCATCAATCATCAATGTTGAGCCTGATGAAGGGACCCTGCAGAGGTCCCGAAATCGCTTGTTTTTCAACTGACGATCTCTTCAATAAAATTAACAATTGATTATCCTAAAAGGATTTTGGTGTGCAGGTGACATTGTTCTCTACCAAACTGATGGTCCTGCATAAAGACACGATGACATGAGTGGTCCCTAGACCACATGAGCCCAGGGTAGAAGAGGCCACGTGGACCAATCTAGCAGCCCAGAGAGGGAACCAGAGGGACCGATGATCAGGGGAGTATATTGGCTTTATTTGATCTGTTCAATAAAATGAACAATTGATTATCCTAAAAGGATTTTGGTGTGCTGGTGACATTGTTCTCTACCAAACTTATGTGATAGCGGCCCCATCCGCAGTCATTTTAGCACCCATCCCTATCATTGGGATTAATGGTAAGAAGTGTGACAAGTTCTTCTCTACAACATGCAGGTCCTTTGACGTGCATTAGACATGAGGATGCTGAGTGACAGTCCATAGCCTGGAGAAGGGGAAATCTGATATTTCTCTGCTGGCTTGTCACTCACGCAGCTGGGCGGATCCCGTCATCTACGTCGGGATCCGCTCCGGCTGTGGCGTCTCAGTATACAGCAAGCTGTAGTTTGCGGTATACTGAGCTTAGGGTAACGGGAGGACGCTAGTTTGTGTCCTCCCGTTACCCTAAGGAGAACTATGGGGAAAAACACTGACCCCATAGTTCTCCTTTAACTATCAGGTCTCCTCCCCAGGCTGCACCTTGTGTGATGATGATGATGATGATGATGATGATGATGATGATGATGAGATCACTCTTATTCAGTCTGCTTTCTCCTCCTATCAGCATTCTCCTTGCACTGCAACACACTTGCTAGGCTCCCTGTGCTGCTAGAAATGCTAGACATGTGTAAGGGTGCATGGAGTGTGCAGAGGGTTAATTCAGAATGTCACATTTTAACATACATTCACACCCCTTTAGCACCTCCTTTACCATATATACGTAAGCTTTTTAGATTTGACCCCAGACACCTCTCCATTTCTATTACATAGTGCAGCTCAGTGACCTGTGACCTTATTGGCCCTATATGTCCATTAATTTATGCTGTATGCAGATATAGAACAGGGACAGTGAAGGGATGACCCAGAATACCTCTGGAGGCTCATGCAAGTTTGGGGAAGGACCCCGGTCCAGCCTGCATATGACTTGGTATCCTGTATCTCCAACACAGCACCCTATCATGAGGCCACTTTAACCAGCAAAGAGAACCTGTTTAAGGAGCACTCCTCGAGCACACTGCCACCTGTAAGTTCTGCCTATTGACTTGCCTTGTGACAGAACTGAGAAAATGACTTTTTCGTACCATAAATTTGTTGTTGGGCAGCTACCATATTGACATACTGTTTATTCTTCAGTATAGAACCCAGAAAACCCAAAGAAACCATGTCTCGTCTAGTCGCCTCTAGACTAGCCCCGCCCACACGCTTCTTCTATTTGAAAGAATACATGTAATGACGCATTAATGGCGCTGCATTAGGTTGTGTCTTTTACAGTACATCTGCCTGATACACAAGCAGCAAACTAGAATGGCCATAGAGGAACGTTTTAGTACATTGCATAATGTAAGTACATTAAATATCTCACCCAGCGTACTGTTATCTGATGTCACATTGATTGGAGGAGCGGATCCAGGGACAACCTGGTTAGTCAAAGATCTAGTGGAAGGCAAACAATTTATTAATGGAATTAAAAAGGGAAGTTACATAACAGGTTTACACAAGACCTAGAATAATAATAACCCTCTACCCCGACCATTTCTAACAAAAATGTGAGTTTTTACATTGTATTATATACAGCCTACCCACAGGGCTTTATATACCATAATGGCACTCATGGGTAAGAGCCTTCACTACCCTCCTCTGGCCATATTCCATTAATGGCTAAATTCAGCTCTAATTTACAGTAGGTAGGATCATTTCAGGTGTGACTATTGCATCCTTAACATGAATTGGACTTACCTACTGACCTACCACATCTGTATTACCTTTTATATGGTACTAATAATAACAATAGAATCAGAAGAAATAAATAATTATCACCAGGGATGAGCTCAGGTTTGGGCTGGGGATGAGTTCCCCCGTACCAGGAAGGGACATGAGGCCACCTGCCAATCAGCTGTGGGCTAAGGCATTACTTTTCCCCAACAGCTCCACATAAACAAACGGGTGGGATGGTTGTGCTGACATCATTGACCTAATACGGCCACATGACCATATTAAATCAATGTATTAGATCAAATATTAGAATATTAGACATGTAAGCCGGCAAAAAAATTATTTAGTTTAATTTCCTTACTTTGTTTTTCAGGGATTTGGTGCTGAAAGTCAATTTGTTTTGACATTGGGATTCGTATGACTTTGAATTTTCATTAATTTCGGACGAGTTAAATGATAATTACGAACGTTTTAACTTTTAAGCACCCTGCTTACCTCCCACTGAGCTTCAGTGTCCTTCTTTACCTCCCATTAAGTCCCGGTGCCCCCCTTGCCTCCTACTGATCTCCAGTGCCCCTCTTTACCCACTACTAAGATCCAGTGCCCTTCTTTGCCTCCTATTTAGCCCCAGTGGCCCTCTTTTCCTCCCCGCTAAGCTCCTGTGTCCCCCTTTACCACTCACTGAGCACCAGTGCCCCTCTGTCTCCTCCATTGAGTGCCAATGCCCCCCTTCCTCCAGTAAGCACCAGTGCCTCAAACCTGCCTCCCACTGAGGACCAGAGCCTCCCATTACTGCCACTGAGCACAACTACCCCTCTTGCTCTCCCAGTGAACACAACTGCCTCCCTTGCTCCTGCTGATCACCGCTGCCCTGCTTGTTCCCCACTTAGCACCAATTTTCCACCTTGCTCCCCACTGTGCACCAATTCCCTCATCTAACGTTTGTGTAGTGAGCCGTCATTGGACAGTATACAGAACGGTGCGGTGCGTTTACAGAGCGGCAGCTACTGGAACAATCGCTCACAAAACTTCCCCCTTCGTTCTGGGGCAGGAGGGGGCGTGGCGGTACATTGAAGTCAATGGCACCGCAGCCACGCCCCCCCAACCTGCAGTGCAATCGGACGTGTGGCAAAACTTTGCTTCCGTTCTGGTCCACTGCAAACCCAAAAAATAGAGCACAATGAGTGCCCCCTCGAGCCCCAAAATGGAGGGGGAAGTTTTGAAAGCAATTGCTGTGCGTTCCAGCAGCTGCTGCTCTGGAACGTACTGCAATTGGTGTGAATGGGCCCTTAAGCTAAAAATAAACCCAACTCCGCAACACAGCAAAATTGTTGTAAAAACGTGTCAAAAACGCAATGCACTGCGTTCCAGATCTTGTCCAATGGTGTGAACCTGCCCTTAATCAGTAAATTGTCACTTTGTCTTCTGCCGTCGCATAAGTCTCAGCATCATTTCAGCCAGAAGCAAGTGATACGGCCGTACGAAGTGGTGGGGGTTCAACAAGAACTCACTGCTGTAGCTGTATCTTGTTGTTCACAACCCATAACTCCACGCCTGTAATGTTTCTGTTATTGTAACTGAAAAAAATGTGTCAAGACCGAAACATGCAAAAAAATAAAATTAAAAACAAGCTGCGTTAGAAAGCTGTGACCGCATCAATGCCTAATAATTCCAATTAACCCTATGCATGCCACTATACACTCTCACATACTTCTAGCAAGCTATGCATTAAAGTTAGGGATTCCTGGTACTTTTTTCACATTTGCTTGGGATATGCATCATGATATCTGAGAACTGTTTTTATGCAAAAGGGTGCTTCGAGAGCTTAAGAGTGTATAGCGGCGTGCAAAGGGTGCCGGAAGAGCATAAGAGGGTATAGCGGCGTGCAAAGGGTGTTGGAAGAGCATAAGAGGGTATAGCAATGTGCAAAGGGTGCTGGAAGAGCATAAGAGTGTATAGCGACGTGCAAAGGGTGCTGGAAGAGCATAAGAGTGTATAGCGACGTGCAAAGGGTGCTGGAAGAGCATAAGAGTGTATAGCAGCGTGCAAAGGGTGCTGGAAGAGCATAAGATGGTATAGCAGCATGCAAGGGGTGCTGGAAAAGCATAAGAGTGTATAGCGGTGTGCAAAGGGTGCCTAAAGAGCATAAGAGGGTATAGCGGCATGCAAAGGGTGCTGGAAAAGCATAAGAGTGTATAGCGATGTGCAAAGGGTGCTGGAAGAGCATAAGAGTGTATAGCGACGTGCAAAGGGTGCTGGAAGAGCATAAGAGTGTATAGCGACGTGCAAAGGGTGCTGGAAGAGCATAAGAGTGTATAGCAGCGTGCAAAGGGTGCTGGAAGAGCATAAGATGGTATAGCAGCATGCAAGGGGTGCTGGAAAAGCATAAGAGTGTATAGCGGTGTGCAAAGGGTGCCTAAAGAGCATAAGAGGGTATAGCGGCATGCAAAGGGTGCTGGAAAAGCATAAGAGTGTATAGCGGCGTGCAAAGGGTGCTGGAAGAGCATAAGAGTGTATAGCGGTGTGCAAAGGGTGCTGGAAGAGCATAAGAGTGTATAGCGGCGTGCAAAGGGTGCTGGAAGAGCATAAGAGTGTATAGCGGTGTGCAAAGGGTTAATGGGGAACATTAGTCATTCTTAAAACAGAACAGATGGTTGAATTAGTTCACCGTCCCTGCCAGTGTCACCTGCTCGGTTTTACTTTCAATATGAAAAACTTTAACAGCTGTTCAGAAACAACAAAAATGTTTTTCCAGTAAAGCAATCTGTAACAGGCTGTTAGGAAACTGACGGCCATGTAACCATGGAGGACTGAGTTCTAAAAGCTCAGCCCTGACTGAAACACTTTCTGTAGTTCAGCATAGAGCTGAGAAGGGTAAGAACGGCTGTCGCCTTTTAGGGCTCATTCACATCTGCCTTGTTGGGCTGCAATGGGCGACGTTGCCCAACATGCTCTCGATGCAAGAACATCTGTTCTTGCATTAGGAGCACATTGGGCAATGCCACCCATTGCAGCCCATCACCGCTGATGTGATTGAGCCAATTTGTCATGTGGCTTCATTTCACACCGTGAACGTGCTGTGTTGGCGTGCGTCTAAACAAATAGGACATGTTGCATTTTAGAAGCATGTGAATATTTCAGAGGCGCTATCCTTTAGGATAGGCCCAACTTGATTTGTAGTTAGCTCATTAGCTTATGGTTAAGCAGCTCAAGGATGCAAAGCCTCCAATAGGAGGTACTGGGAGCAACTCGGACAAAAAACAGAAGAGTGCCAGACCAAAACGGATGTCAGAGTCCATAACAAAACAGGCAGGCAACGCAGCAAACAAAACCCCCCTCCTCAGGGCTTGGAAATGATGAGAATGAAGGAATGGACTTTATCACCAATCACTGCCTGCAAATCTACAAATACCTATAGCTGCAAAAAGCTCTAAATTCTAATTTAGAGGAGAAATAACAGGCTAAAAAAAAATAGCCCATTAAAAGATCAAATAACAAAACCAGCCCATTTTTCTGCCATGAGATGTCCTCAGTCTGATGGCCAGCATCATTCAACCAACTTCCTGTGAGCCCAGGTCTTCCTGGACTCACCCCCCTCACCCCCTGACTGGACAGTGAAAGGAGAAGCAGCACAGTCATTAGCTCATCTCTTTATCTGCTTTCGCCGCCTACCAACATGCTTCTTGCCAAAACACGAACTGATTGTCTCCTTCTGCTTCTTCCTCTCACACTCAAGCCCTGCTGTACAGGGACTACAAGAGTCTGATACCAGGTCACATTCAGGCACTGCTTGTATTCCAAAAATGCATTTGACGCTGTATTAATGATTACAGAGCTGCATTATTTAGTGTCTTTTATACCTGCCTGAAACTGCAGAAATATTAGAGATGTAATAGCTTCCAAGAAGAATTTTGCCAATGATATATTCTACATTTGCAAGTTCATAAATCATTATTATTACTTACTTGCTTAGGAGCAAATCCTCCATTTTGTTTGTCACCGTTCGGTATCCGCCCATGGAATGATAGACCCAGGAGTCACATGGTAGCCGCTTAGGTTTTACACACTCCCAAGTGTCTCCACTAACGGGGTCCTGATATCTGCATACGTCCTTTCTGGTCAGCTTGAGGTTACATTCCACCATTTCACTACTCCCATTGAATTGAAAAAAGCCGTTGAAATAGACCTGCCAGGCACAGAAATCATACTTAGAGGAAACCCGTCAGATTGTTTTTACAGGAGAGTCAGTCCTGCTCAGTCCAAATGGTTTCTAGGATTTGTGGCCAGTGCTTTGATCTTCGTGGACCTAAAAGCTAATGAATAGGAAGACCTGGTTCCTGCAGATGCTTAGGCCAGCTTTTTCTTAAGGTCATCCAGATGTCCCGCCAAGGATGACAGGTGATGAGACATCTGCCCGATGGTCGGACTGGGTTCGGTCCGAACCTGAGTTCCTCCAAACACAGAATTGCTATCTAATCAGCTGCAGGTTGGGACATTCCCCACCCCACAACTGCACCTAAACAAAAGAATGGGATGCTTGTGTTGACCTCATTGGCCTTATGGCCATATGGCCATATTAAAGTCAATATCATTGATCAAATATAGCCATATAGCCATATAAGGTCAACGACATAACTACATCCCATCCTTTTCTTACGTGCAGAGATATAGGCACCGCATTGGCCTTGCGCCAATCTATTGGTACCAAGCCAGTCATTAGAGAGTCTCTAAAAACTAGATACAATGGCTTCAAAACAATAGAGCTCAGTTCTTTGAGGACTCATGGCTGTAAGCCATCCATTCCAGGTGCTTTGTTCACGTTTTAAGGGGCCCACATGCTCAGACCTGATCTTTTTACTATTAATATATTTAAAGAATTTATGGGGGGGGGGGGTGTTATCTTGCACTCTTTTGCAACCTGTCGTTCGTTTGGAATCTTTGCAATCTTTATTTCCTTTTTACATATTTAGTTATATTCTTTGTAACTTTCAACTGATGACAGTGTTCCTTCATTTTTAAATTTTTTTAAACAACCTTTTCTTATTCTTTCTGGTTTTCTTAACAATGGATGTGGTTTTTCTTTTAGCCTTTTAAATTTGTGGCTTGATGGAATATATTTTGCAGCGTGTTTACGAACAAATTATTTGAAACATTCCCATTTGTGTTCTGTGTTTTTTCGATGACAATATTCCCACCCATTCGAAGTCTTGAAGAGCAGCCCTCAGCATTGCATAATTTGTTCTCCTAAAATTAAATGGGTTCTAAAGCCTCCCGTTTTTTTTGCCTATATCTACTGTTGACAAGCAGTAGATATAGGCAAAAAGTTTAAAAAAAAATGCTTAAACAGTGGTTTAGAATGACCTTATTATTGCTGCGGGCTCCCGCGGCGAGAGTCCGGAACTGTTCGTGCGGCCGCAAAGGATCTAGTATCAGGAGAGAGGAGGGGTCCCGGCGGCATACCTTATCCTGTCGGGTGGCTGTCTCCTCCTCTATCTGCCGGCTTCCATTACCAAGATGGCCGCCGGCAGGTTTCAGAATACTGTCGCGCGTGGTGACGTCACGCGCATGCGCGGTGACGTCTCGGCGGGGGGGCACCCGCACACACCCTCCGGGGGGAACAC